GTAGGAAAGAAGAGATAATAAAAAGATCAGTCCAGGAGACTCAACATCTGCCTAATACAATTCCAGGGAGAAGAAACAGGGAATACAAAGGTGAGGTACACGCAGTTCCAGATTTAAAAGACCTACAGAGTGAGCGGAACGATAAATACAAAAAACAAATCCCGGTAAGGTACATCATTGTGGACTTTAGATGGTGAGACACAGAGAAAGAACCATCAAACTTTCCAGAGAAAGAAAAACAAAGCAAAGGCAAGGAACGCAGTCAGACTTCTCAAGCACAGTGTGAACTGGAATCCTGCATGGAAATGATTTTCCTCCTAGAATTCTACATGCAGCTAAAGAATAGAATTAAGACATTTCATAACTAAACATCTCAAAACATGTAACTTGTATGTACTCATTTATGGGAAACTATAAGATAAAGGGCTTTTCCTCCCTGGAGGCTTTCCGTGTCCCCTGATTGGAATTCTCAGCTCCCCAATCCCAGAGTGTGGTGTTCAACAACTTAATGTTTGACTTCATCCTGGAGGAAAATATGTGCCATGTCTGATCACCCTTGTACTGTCCCCAAGGGCTCAGCCTGGTACATACCTAACAGAAAGAACTCAAGAAGCACCTGTTGAATCTTTATCAGCCAGGAATACCTTTTAGATTTTCTCTGTCGTTTAAAAACTGTATTCCACAAGCAACAACTGCCCCTTTTTACACTGTAATAGAGTTTAAAATGTTTAAAATGGAAACATGTGCACAAATTGAGTGCACTGGTCTTGCTTTAGTAAAGCTTTTTAATACTATCTGTTTGGAGCAGGGACGACTGCAAGGTTAGTAAATTTTCTCTGTAAAGGGCCAGATAATACATATTTTCAGTTTTGTGGACCATGTTTCTCTTCCGCGACTCCTCAGCATGGCCATTGTAAAGTGAGAGAGGCCATAGACAACATGGAAACGAACAGGCATCTCTGTGTTCCCGTAAAACTCTACCTATGAAAACCAGCAGCCACTGGACTTGGTCCGCATGCTGTCATTCGCTGACACCTGGACGAGAGTAATGCTTTATTTATTCCCACCATCTTCACAGGAAAGAAGTTTCTTAATACCTCGACGTAGCATTAATAATTTGGTTTTTCTATTTTTCTCTCTTAAATCTATCCTCTCTCTGGAAGTTGAATCAATACTCAATCAAAAATCGAGATTATGCTCTGAGAGACAAATTCTCTTTTCAGAATATCCCTGCTTTAAGAACTATGGGAAGGTACACTGCCTTTCTCCACTTTTAAGCCTAAACTTCTTTTAGGTTGGATGAAAATCACTTGCTCTTTGAAACTGTGGTCTCTGCTTTTCCAATCAAGGGTGGCTTAGGCTGCCTTACAGAGCAAGCCCCATAAGAATGCTGCCATGGGGAACTGCTGTTTGCTGAGAGTTTGACACATAAGCCCTTCAGACAAGCGTTGTTTGGCTGCTTATGGTAGATTAAGAACAAGATCCTTTGTTTCCAAAAGAAATCAATGTTTGTTCTTAAGTTCAAAGAAAACCAACTGTTCTAAGGACGATATGAGGACACGGACTCCATTCCAGCCGCCAATTATCTGCAAACACAGCAGAAGCAAAACCCACGTCTACCTAGCATGGAGAATTAGTCTTAGGCAATCCCTCAGTCCAGAACTCCCCTGCCCAGCCACTCAAGTCCAGCCTACGAAATTGATTTCTTAAGGAAAAAAAAAGAGTGTTTATATCAAAATGGGAGTCCACTTAGGTCACCCCCTCTGAGATGCAGTCACATCAACTACTAGGCTTCCTATTAGCTACTAAGAAATCCAGAAAACAGCACTGGTGGTTTTTTTAAGTGGATATGGCACTCCCTCCAAGCCAATCACTAACCTGTCATTTAAAAAAAAAAAAACGAGAAAATAAACGAAAATACCACCATCAAAGCCTAGAGGCTGGGTAGAATTCTGTGTCTGCCAAGGAGTAAAAGTGTGTAACATTTTAAGTAGCATCATAAGCAAAGGATCTAATTGCCTCTGCCAAAAAGCTGGTCTAGCACCAATCAGACGTCAGCCACGCATTTGACAATGCAGCCGAAAGCCAGCCATGTCAGAAAATGCTTCCTGGTGGTTGGAAGGGAGGATGTGCATCTAAAATCAACATTTTTGTGGGGCCCAGCTTCTAATCTCCGAGGTCCAGTAGTCTGACAGCTTGAGTGATTCACATGACAGCTATTTCGTTCCCAAGTTCAAATGCAACAGTAGACAGTAAATTGTGCTACAGTCCCCCACCAACTATTCTAAAAGCCAATATTAAGGTTTTTCTTAGAGTTTCACTTCTTGGGTGCTTTTACTTTCTGAAGCCCCTTAAGATTCAGCACCAAGTCTTTGGGAGGACAGAAAGTGACAGGAGGGAGAAGGGAGGAATGAAAGAAGGAAGAGAAGGAAAGGAGAAGAGAACAAAGGAAGAAAAAAGCTAAGAGAACTTCAATGACTCTACCAGGAGACAGATGGAGAGCAGATGGGAGCTGATCCCAGGTGAATACTATTCCAGGTACCTCTAAACAATGCCAGCATGGGACTCCCTGGAAACAAGGAGACAGTAACTCAATACAGCAGGAATTCCTCCAGCTGGTAACTACAAGTCCTCCAAAACAGGTGATCACTTAAAATGGGACTTCATAGAGAAAAAACCATATTGAGGCAGGAAGCAACTCCAAATGGGTGTTCTGCCTTAAGTCATAGGAATGGCTGGAGCCTACAAGAACCCTGAGCCTTTTTTTTTTTTTTTTTTTTTTGAGACGGAGTCTCACTCTGTTGCCAGGCTGGAGTGCACTGGCACGATCTTGGGTCAACCTCTGACCCCCTGGTTCAAGCTGTTCTCCTGCCTCAGCCTCCTGAGTAGCTGGGATTACAGGCATGCACACCAAGCCCAGCTAATTTGTGTGTATGTGTTTTTAGTAGAGATGGGTTTCACCATGTTGGCCAGGATGGTCTTGATTTCCTGACCTCGTGATCTGCCCGCCTTGGCTTCCCAAAGTGCTGGGATTACAGGCATGAGCCACTGCACCTGGCTGAGCCTTTCTTTTATAAGGACACCTGCCACTGGGCTTAGGGCTCACCCTAAATCCAAAATGATCTCATCTCGAGATCTGAACTTAATTGCATGTGCCAAGATCCTTTTCCTTTTCCTTTTTCTTTTTTGGCATGTAAATCAGTGTTCATTCTTTCAAATAAAAATATACATAGCGAAAGGATTACGACAGTCAAACAAGTTACCATATCCATCTCATCACATGGTTTATTTTTTTTTGTGATGACAGCACCTGAAATCTACTCTCTTAGCAAATTTCCAGTCTACAGGGTCGTAGTATTATCAAACAAGACCCTTTTTTCAGATAAGGTCACACTCACATGTTCCAGGGGCTGGGACTTAAACGTATCTTTTTGGAGGCAACTACTCAACTCACCACAGTTTCCAACAAACTAGAGAAGAAAATTAGTTATTTACTTAAATAAACATGGACTGTAAATGCTTTGTTGTATTTGATCATTGAAAGTCCCAAGACAGCAGGAATTCCTCCAGCTGGTACCTACAGATATTCCTGTCAGAGCTGGTGTCCTTCGACAAGTTACCAAGCCTGCTTGATCCTCAGTGCCCTTGTGTGTGAAACTGAGACAATCCCTCACCTGGTAGTTTGTTGTGCAAGTTGACAGTGATTCATTTAGAGTGTCTGCCCCCAGCTAATGTGTGGTTGACAGGCCCTAGTTTTCAACGGCTTTGAGCAACATGTCCAACAGCCACTCTCCAGGAAACAGCGTTCAGTTATTTCTTGATTCAGCCATTAGTAGGATGTGTCTCGGGTATTTAGGGAAAAAAAGAGGCTAAAATAGCAGGCTTGCTAAAGGTAAATAATAATCAGACTTGTGGGAGAATTAAGGACTTGGCACCATGAGAAGAGCTGTCATATTCAAGATGGTCACTTGTGACCATAGTTCTCCAATTATCCCAGGAATCATCAATTTAAATACACCATCTCTCACTACCTGGGCACTCCCCAGGACATGAGCGGCATCTTATTTATCCTTGCATCCCCCATGCCTGGCACAGTGCCTGGCACCTGAGTCATGCAATATGAACTGACGGATGGATGATGACATGAGCCAGAATGCTCAGGAAACTTCAGCTCTGATCATCAACAATCACGTAGATAACTACTGTTTATTGAAAGTCACAATACTAAGTGCTTTACATATACTGCATGGATTAAATAAGATAATTTATGTTACCATTTTGGCAGAGCTGCTGCTCCAGAAATGGGAGGGATCATCACCACTTATTTTAATCCTCATTCCAACCCATAAAGGAGGCATTCTTATTCCCATGTTATAGCACGAACTGAGGCATAGGGAGGTGAAGTCCCCCAGCTAATACCTGGCAGAGCCAGGGTTTGTTAGACTTCAAAGACCTGTGTCCTTTTCAGCTACATTGCACTGCTTCTGATTCACAGTATTAAGTCTTTGTTTTAAGGTGTTCACACATCTATAGTCAGACTATAAACTGGAGGTATGGGGAGATGTATATGTATATGCATGTACATATATATGTCTATATATGTATACATATGTGCTATATATTTGTGTACACACATGCGCAACACCTCAATTGAAAAAATAAACTAGAGGGAACAATGACCTAAACAATGGAGGGTCCCAGGGAGCATGGAGAATTCCCTTGTCCTGAATCGTACTGTGCAGGGATAAAGCATCACATGTTACGCTCTGCCAAGCTCATGAAAGCAACACATACAATGTTTTATAAGCTCCAGAGCCTCATTCCAGGCTTATTACTTCCTGTTGAATAATCTTGTTTCTAAGCCAAACGCCGTACAGTGAAGAAAAATGAACTGCGCTTGACATTCACATACAAGTGCTTTGCTCTGCACCTAAATTCCCAAAGACAGTGAGCAGGAAACATGACTGGGGGCACTAAGAGCATCCCAGCCATGAACTTACAGGAGGAATGGATGCTGGGGAAGCTTTTGCGGCCCTCGGACACCAGATCAGGGTCACCTGTGCAGTGCATTTCCGAGTTCATCACTCCATCTGGAAAGCAGCGGTAAAAGAAATCGGGGCGAGGTCTACAAAAGACACCATGGACATTTTCAATATAAAATGTTGCCATCACAAATGACCCCAAGCTGAACCCCCAACTCCCCACTGCCCCTAGCTCCTTCCTCAGCCCCCTTGGCCGTCAACACTGGAGCTCCCCACAGAATCCTCTAGACACAGGCATTTGAGGAAAAGTTCAGGCTTTGGTGTCAGAAAAATCTGAGTTGGCGCTCCCACGTACCACTTACTCGCTTTATGACCTTGGGAAGGTCACTTGGTCTCCCCCAGCTTCAGTTTCCACATCTGTAGAAGGGGAAAATCAATACTGACCCAAAGCTGAGGTCCTAAGGATAAAGTGACATGACGTACAGGAGGCACCTAAGCAGTGTCCTCTGGCTTAAGCTCCTTGTTTGACAGGTGTGAAAAGGAAGGCTTCATGCCACCCGTAGACTAAAAGTTACTTCCTGTCTTGATCTACCGCTCTATTGTTGGATATTGGCATGGATTGCTCAAATGCCAATCCATAGGTCTCATCCTGAAGAGAATGATAAATAAGTAATCCTATTTATCTACCGCTCTACTGCTTGATCTATTTCAGAGGCTGCCTCTGGGATCCAAGACTCCAGGCTCCTCATGTCCATATATCCTGAATTTGGGTGGCCACTTGCCCTTCCTGAAATGGCAGGCCTCACCCGGCCTTACTGAGAGACCTTAAATATTCAGCTCCATGATGCAGAAGACACAGTGCCCCAGGTTGGCCTCTCTGGTCTAGGACATGGGAAAGAGACCTCTACATAGGGGTGGCCCTGGGCCTGAAGTCGAGCCTCCTGCAGCAATCACAGCTGAAGGAAGTCCTGAGTGCTTACTGGGCTTCAGACACAGTGCTAAGGTCCACACACCCATTGTGCCATATAATCCTTAGGAGAACCCTGAGGCAGAGCCTGGGGCTGTCTGTATTTCACACGTGCAAAAATGAAGGCTCTTCATTGCTCAAGGTCACACACATCCAGTAAGTGGCAAAGACGAGCTCTGAACACCAGTGCCTGGATCTTTGTGCCAACATACTTCACCGCATGCTTTACTGCCTCACTCGAATGAGGGTCCTTACACAGGTAGGTGATGGCCTATCACCTCACATTCATACTCAACTAATATTCGCTGAGCACCTACCATGGGTGAAGCTTAGCTAATGTTAGAAACACAGCACCTGCTTTCTGAGCACTCCAAGTCACAGTCCTGATCGCTGGTCCTTCAGTTCTGCAACTCAGGTAGGGCCTAAGCAGTCTACCAGAACAGCTGGGGTTCTGTCTCTCCAGTACTCAGCCAGCGTTTCTCCAAGTATGGATGTCCACCTAATGCACCAGAACCTCAGAGGGCCGAGGCCTGACAGTGAGCACTGGTCAGGGCACTGTGGTAGCTCTAAGCACACAAAGTTAAGGGAATACAGCAGCAACAGGCCACGTACTGCCTGATTTTTATCTATTTCCTGCCCCCTCAGTCCCTGGCCTGCATCCAGTAGATAAAATAAATACTAATGTTCTGAGAGGGGATCTAGTGTGTCCCAGGCCAACAGCCAGCTAGAGTTAGTTAGGTCTTGTATTCAGATATTTTGACGGCTCATGTCTGCAGAGACCAGCTCTTCACCAGAGTAGTCAGAAGAGAAGGAAAGATAAATGGAAAACAGAAATCATTTCTCAGGGGCAGTAAGAGAAATGTGCCGTAAGCCCAGGCTCAGATGCCAATCCATATGTCTCATCCTGAAGAGAATGATAGGTAAGAAATCCTACTTATTTATTAGAGACCAAAACTGACAAGTGAGAGGGTGTCAGGGGAGGCCTTGGGCTGGCAGTGGAAGGAACTGGAAACGCCAGCAGTGAGCTTTGTCCCACAAGAAAGTATGGTCAGTGGGCATTTCCTTGCTAGTGATCTCCTGCTTTCTAAAATAGTGAGTTCGTAATTCAAAGGAAAGATCTGTGCTAAGGATGGAAAGCTCAGAAGGACGGTTTAAGGGAGAGCTAGATGAGCTCAAATCTGTCCCATCCAGTGTCTGCTGGCCCAGCTTCCTATACAGATGACCTTCATAGTCTAAGTCACCATTTCATTCTTCTTGGAACTTACCTTCCCACTATTAATTTAATAGTGTTTGTGCAGACTCCATTCAAAGCAAGAGCCAAGGACACCGCTACAAAACAAAACCAACAGACAGAAAAATAGCAAGCAGGCTCTCAAATCAAAATCATCATCATCATTATCATCATCATCACTGTTACATTATAATACTATTTAATGACCATAGAAACAGGCATGAATACTTTGAAAACAGAGATACGTTTGGGTTGCTAGAGCAAAATATAATTACGCCAGGACTTTGGAGAGTGACTCATAAAATTCTAGGCCCCTGTGTCATGAAATTTATCTCTCCGCCTTGACTGAAATTTTCACAATCACAGAGGAGCTCATCCATCATTTTCTGGCCTGATATGAACAGATTTAATACCACAGCATGTAGAATTTCTTTTACTGGTAGCAAGAAACATAACTTTTTTTATTTCCTCCTGGCAACCTTCTCAGACATAATTCTAATCAGAGCAGCTGCTGGAATCCTACTGCAGAAAAGGACGTCCCCACTCGGCAATTATCTCATTATTGACCCATCACCGGCTGACAGCTGTCCATTTATTATCAAACAAATCACTGTTTCTGCAAAGGTGCAGAGTCCAAAAGCCTCACTGGCTTTGGAGAAGGTCTGCCCAGGCGGTGCTTTTTGCCATCTAAAAGAGCAAGAACTTCTGGGACACATTATTTGATCATACAGAGCACAGGGACTTTCTCTAAACAGTTTGGGAAGACTTTGCCAGACGCAGCACAGATTGTCCCGAAGGTGGCAGGTAACATGAGTCACAGAGCTTTCACTGCAAAGATCTTGCACCTCTCTCCTGTGGTTTATTGAGAGTGCATAAAAGGCAGAGTCATCACCATCAATGTGATAGAAGGTCAAATGCCTCACAGAAGCAATAAAAACCTATTGATGCCCCATTCCACTGCTTTGTTGAATAATAAAGCATGTGAGCTACCATTTCCCTTCGGCAAATATTAACTGTTCAATACTAGCTGAGATTTATATAAGAATTTAGCAGTGAATGGGGGCATTTTCGGGAAGGAGCTGCCTAGGGCAATTCACGGCCCATCGAGAGAGACAAATATGTTGTTCTATGAGCAGAAAGTACTGTGGAATGGCCAGTACCACTAAGAGCATGAGCCACAGAGATGGGAACACAACCCACCTGTTTTTAACAAGTCATCTGAAGCAGAGAGAATGGGAGGGACACATTCAAATGAACATCTTTGTCAAAGGGAAACAAATCACCTACGTGTGAGATGGGGGCAACTGGCCATATCCGAGTGTGGCAGAAAGGAGGGACAGGCCACAGACTTGGAGGGCAGAGCGTGAATCAGCAGCACAGCACTGCCATTAAAACACGGAGCATGAAATGGGGGTGCAGAAATTGGAACTGAATATGAGGGAACTTGGAAAGATCCACTGACTGCATTCTGAACACATAGACCCTTCCTTCCTCAAATGCCAGCTCCCCTTCTCTCTGGCAAGCTCAGAGCACTGTGGAGAGGCCTCTCTCCAAGAGGGGAGAAAAAATTCCCTAGAATATCTTTGCCATGTTCTCTCCACAAACCCTGATAATTAACAGGTTGTGAGATTGCCAGGAAATTACTGTGGTCTTTTCTCTGTTAGGGCTGGCCTGCCAGGCTCACTGCTGTGTTTTCCCAGTGGGGCTGGACTCATTCTCATCCTGGTCCTAGCATGGCCTCTCTGGGAACAAGCATCCCTGGCCAATTCCCTATCGCCCCACATAGATCTTGGTGAACTTCATACACAGCCACATGGATCACTTCCCCAGCCTCTGAGCCTGGTGGGCTTATCACAGCACAGAGCCGTTCTTTAAAAAGTCTGAAGTAGCTAAGCTGGAAAATGTATGGATGTGTTATAACCACCAACAATTGGCAATTTTCCTGTCTGATCCAAACACCTGAAGGAAGCAGAAAGGTAGGAAGCTGGTGATGATATTTAACACAGTCATTTCAGCATTATAGCAGGAACCTAAACTGTTTAATATTTTTATCGGAATAGCACAACCCTCTGGGAATCAATGCAGGAGCCCCTCACTGATACTAGAGAGAAAGCTGTGCTGGGATCAGACCCATAAAAGGCTGGACAAACAGGAAAATAAATGGCCCCCATCAGGAATGCTTGTTCATTAACAATAACCCAGTGGGTCTGGTCATAAAGGCTGTTCTGTTTTTACAGCATCCCACAGCACTGTGGGTTTGAGAGAAGAGTCAAAAAGACAAACCATACTGCATCTGATAAAAAATTTCAAAGCAACGTGTCCCGTGAGTTGGCTTGTAAGCAGCCTGTACTCAGGACACTACTGGTTATAAGCATTCCAGGGGATTAGAGGGCTTTTGTTGTTACTTTCGTTGCTGTAGGAAATCAGTACTATTGTGCTTTTATAACAGGGTTCCTAGAGTATACAGACCTGACTGTTTTGCAGCCTGAATTCCTAAAAGCCCAATGCTGCATGGGGCAAACCTCACTCCTCTCAACCAATGCCAGATGCACAAACATGGCCACTGTTTACCTGGAGATGAGGGCAGCACTTGGGATCCAGGTTTGGAAGCCTGGGTTAAAGTCTGCTGAAGACATCTGAGTAAAGAAGAGCACTGAGAACTAAACCTCCTGGTTGATAGAGTCCTGAATTCCAGACAACACTGGAAAATCTACACCCACTTTTCTATCCTTGGCTTTTAAAGATCACCCACCTCCACCCCCTACTTCCAAGGCTTCCTAAAAGTAGCAATTAAAAAAAAAACAAAAAACAAAAAAAAAACAAAAAAACCTCTACACACAATGGGAGGCTGTTCATCATTTTTATAGGGCAGGCTGTCATTTGTTTTATTTAGGCAAACAGAACATCCAATAATTCCACCTTCTCTGTTAACATATAGCAGACAGAGTATGATGTTCAGTTTTGAAATGTCACCCTAAGGGAGATTTCGTTCAGAATGAAAAGTCTGGAGAAGGCAACTGTGAGCTACTTACTGCTATGACAGCAGCCCTACTCCAAAAGCCAGCCGTCAGTGAGAACCACAACCACGAAAGACAGTTCTTACCCACAGCCACTTATCTTGAGAGTCCATGCCAGGGGAGCTACTAGAATAAAGTATGAACTAAAGGGATTTCCAAGTGAACTGAGAGGGCTCCCAACAGCACTTTTTGGAGACTATGGTGATATCCATCCAAACACTGCCTGGCCACTCAAGCCATGTGTGAATGGACACCTACCTGGGTCCTTGGAGAATGTGACCTTTTCCCACCTCAGCTGAGGAGACTGAAACCTGTGACCAAAAGGCCAAGCCATACAAGGGCAGCCTGCGGTACACACCTGACCTGAGGGAGGGCATCGACAGGCTGGTCAGGGACTCACAGTTTTTGTGGCCCGGCTGGAGAAATGAGCTGACTCTATCTAGGAAGTACAGAGACTCTGTCCAGGAAGTCTGGACCAAAAAACACAGTGAAGCTTGGTGGGTGGGCATCAAAGTTGAACAAGCAGACAGATTGGGGGCAGAAGCCACCACCACTGCAAGCCCAAGTCTCACATACACCAGAGACATGGGGCAGCAGAAACAAAGTCGAGGCAGAGGAATCAGGCTGGGAGTGTCAGGAGAAGAGGGAAGGCATACTGCAGTGGTCATGAGCCAAGAGGGAGGTCTCCCCTCCTGATGGCCCAGTTCCCCATTCCAGTCCCTGTGAGGTGCCTCTGAACTTTTCCCCCTTTTTTCTTGGATGTCTGTGAGATTGCTTATCAGAGCCCTGTAATTAAACCCCTAATTTATTTGAGCTAATTTGAGAGGGATTCTGTTCCTTTCACCTAGATAGGGCCTAACAGAAGCCTGGTTATATAGGAAGCATTCTGTGTGCTGCTTTAGGGCAGGAGCTGCTTGTTGTCCCACACTCCCTAGATGCAGCTCTCACACTCACTCCCTTACCATGAAAAAGGGAGGACCATATTTTGCTACATTTTCATTTCCTCAAAGCCCAATAATTAACAAACACACCCTTAAGTGAAGGCTCTCATTTTCCAGACTTACTGTGCCATTGAATGGTAAGTCCATATAACACACCAAAAACAAAATTTAGGCTGAGGATTTGGGTAACTTTTAGGTGACTGTCAAAAAAAGAAAAAATCAACCTGATTTGGTTTTTCTCATGGTCAAAAAGCTGAAAACTTGGCTACAGGTTAGTTTATTTTGTTTGCTAAACAAGCCAAGTAGTTTTGGCTATCTCTTGGTGCCGTCATTTACTCAGGATTTGATTAACATGAAGACCAGAAAAACACATTTAATCCTGAAACGTCAAACTCTTGTGCCCTGCAGACATGGCTTAGCTTGGGAAGAATTTATAACAATGATGTTATAATCAATGACAAAGATCATAACACTCTTCACATAATAGTGAACACTTAACTACCAAAATGTCTTCAAACTTCAGATGAGTTATAAAGTTTGTTTGTAATATCTATTTTATTTTACACCGCATTTGCCCATTATTGCCTCTAGCCAACAGTGTTTGGTTGAGGAGTCTGTTGTTGATTTCTGAATTGCCCATAATGTGGGTCTATTAGCCAAAAATGTGAGACTGGACAGTCGGAGGTAACAAAGTTTTAGATTTACTTTGCCTACTGCCAAGAGCTGCCCAGAGTGTGCGCCTGAGCAGCACAGCTCTCTGGTGTGTACGGGGTGTTATGAGCATTCAGCACAACGGACAGCGACAGCGGGCGGCGTCTGACCATCCTCCATTTAGGACTGCACACTGGCTCTTATTTGGGCTTAAAGTTTATCTTTATTTTATGTTATTCCTCCCCAGCTTAATTTGACCAAAAGAAAAAATCAGTTGGATGCAACTGAGATTTCTTAAATGCGATCATCTAATTAAGGCCAGCCCCATTCCCTAAAGCAGGAACTGTGAATACTCTACCTAAGAAGGCTTCCTTAATTTCAGTCTTGTCTGTTCGCCGGATAATTTTCACCACACAAATAACAGCCAGGGGTGTGAGGAAAGAAATTGCCTGGAAGAAATAACAAACAATCCCTTATGAGGACATCAGTTTGCTATCAGAAGGGCTGATTGATAATTAGTTCCCGTTAGCTTCATTTAGACTCCCTAGTTGAATAATCTTACTGAACTCCTGACCTCAAACAAACAAAAAAAAAGGATGATGTATGTCTGTGCTTAGAGACTACACAGACTTTAAAAATGGAAGATCTGATTGTAGGTTATAATTGATTTGTAATTGCTGAGAGCCATGTTTAAAGCAGTGACTTTTTAAATGGAAAAAAATAGTCTATAATTACAATGAATCATGTTTGCCAGTAATTCCCCTCATGCTCTCCTCTGTGGAAGGGTGAAGAACCCTTGGCTTCCCACTCCCATCTCTCTGGAAACACGAGTGCATTTGGGACTCACTTCGAGTCAATCAATTCATTCTTTTTTGGTGTTCTTTTGTTGAATATTTATCTCTTCTGCAAAGCAGAGTTTAGTCTGTTTGCATAAAGCCTCTCCTCTTCCCTTCCTCTATCCCCTTTCCTCCACATAGATGCTCAACTCAGACTTAATGAGTTAAACTGGTGGGATTCAGATGCAACCAACACTCATTACAAAACCTACTGTGAAGTGGAAACCATGGTAGTTACCATCAAGTCCAGGAGACTCTTACATCCTCATGATAGCTCTGTGACTGCCTCCTCCAGGCTTGAGGACTAGGTGATGCGCCTGGGAACACAGAACTGGAGAGGGGCGAGGCCAGGATTTGGGGACAATGTTTCCCTTCCCATATTGAGTCTTTATTCCAGCTTTCCATAATTAGTAAATTGTTTTTCAACATTCCACCAACCATATAAAAGGTATTTATGTTACTTCCTTATGACTATAACATCTCAGGATAACAACATCAGAAGAGACTGAACATCTTACAAATCCAGAATCGGCCTACCAGTCAGTCGTGGGAGGGCTGGGATGTAACTGTTAACCAATAGTGTTCATAATTCTGGAAATCTCCCTCTCCACTCTAGCAAGCCGTCACTTTTTGGAGAGGGGCTTCCTGATGGGACTAAGGCATGGCTGGAAGATGCTCTTCTTTTTTAAATTTATTTTTTATTTTTTGAGATGGAGTCTCACTCTGTCACCAGGCTGGAGTGCAGTGGCATGATCTCCGCTCACTGCAACCTCCACCTCCCGGGTTCCAGCAATTCTCCTGCCTCAGCCTCTTGAGTAGCTGGGACTACAGGTGTGCACCACCATGCCCAGCTCATTTTTGTATTTTTAGCAGAGATGGGATTTCACTATGTTGACCAGGAGCTCTTCTTTTATAAAAACAGAATTCACCCAAATGAATGCAGGCTTTTAAAATTATTTGAGATGCTCCACATCCTTACTACAATCAGACAGCTAGAGTTCAAATCATCCTGGGGACTCCCCTTTGGGAACTGTCTTCAGACGCCACTTGTATGAGACATGAAAAAAGCCCTCTCCTTACCTGTCACCATTTATTTCTGACCAGAAGTGGTAGTAACCAGTTTGACAATTCAGCTGTGGCCCTGAATGATTTAGACGGTTTAAAAGTCAAATAAGCAAGTCTTGCCACCATGGAGGGTATTCAGGTGCTAAAGGCAGATGCATGAGAGGAGATTCAGAACCGCTACAGAGAAAGCAGAGGATTCCCTTGGGGGCTATTCAGAAGGGCAACACTCATGAGTTAAGAGGTCCAGTAAGTCTGTGAAAGTTGCCATAAGTTATTGGGCAGCTCTCACACCCAAATAACTACATGGCTTGTTAAAGTACTGATTTCCTCAAACATGCTTATATAGCAGGTCTAGAAATGTATATTTTTAACAGTATCTCAAATGGTACTGATGCTGATGATTGAGAATTATGCCTTAGACTTTTGATTCACGCATTTAGTGCTTAAAGAACAAGAACTGAAGCACCACTTACTGAAGTCCAACATTATGGTCAAGGCCAAAGAAGTCCTTGTTTCTCCAAATCCAAACATGAAGCCCACCAGCTTACCTTTCTGTTTTCTGTCCCTTCAAGCACTGCATACAGACCAGGCAATGTGCTCCCAAATAGGAGAAAGCAACTCACCAAATAGGGGATGGCCCAGTAATGACCACCAATTCAGCGTTTATATAGGAGAACAACATGATTCTGAAGGAAATATTTCAAGACAATCCCAGCTGGTATAATCTAAGGTTAGGCAATAATGAAACCCTAGAAAAAAATTTGAGTTGGGATGACTTTCCCAATGAGGCTTCCAAAGGAAACTCCAGAGCAAAAAGTCACTGCCCACACAAGAGATGTGGGTGCCAGGTGGGAGGTGCTCAGGATCATGGTCAAGTGTGCAGGCTGAAGAATTCATTAGAGCTGCTCAATGACTCCAAGCTAGTGGCCTGATGGTCCAGTGATCTCCTTTAGAACCGTTGCCTGCCTCAACTTGCCTCTTCCTAATTGGACCCTCACCTCTACTTCCCCAACAAGGCTGGACTTAATTTAACTCATGCTACAACTTCCCTAGGTAGATGTATTTTGGTGTCTAGGACCACTATCAACTGCTCTTGAGCCAAGGCTAAGCACCCAGGAGGGCCCAAGGCTCCCCACCTCAAGAGCTTCCCAGGCGAGGAAATGCAGCCTTCAAAGTGCCGTGTGGCTGCAGCCAGAGTGGCTTCAGCAGAGGTGACTGTGTGATTGCAAGATGTGGCTTGTTTCCTCCTCTCATCCTAACAGCAATGGGCCCTGGTGTCTCATTTCTTCTTCTGGAAATGTATCAGCCATATCCTTGGGTAGCAGGGTCCATGAATCAGGATGGATAGAGACATAGTTACATGTATCATTCACCCCCTTGGATACAAACATTTTTTAACTGAAAGTTGGAATTAAGAGGTGAACTTCAGAAGCCAACACATTGGGAAAACAACCTCCTCCTGGGGCAAAACACCTGTGAACTGAGTGAAGGAGGAATGAAGAGAGTAAGCACCCCACCACCTCACTTTCACTCAGCAAAGCAGATTGAATTGAAGCCAGTGCATATGCATTCCACTCTTCGGACAAAGGCCATTGGTAGCTGCGGTTCTGCTGCTCAGGCCAGGGGAGCAGATGACGATGGACAGAGGGACATAAGTTGGGGATGTTCCCTTGTACCTCCACACATGGGCAGAGATGGGGGGAAAACATGAGCAAGCAAAATCTCCCTTGGTATTGTTTTCTCTTCTGTTAATGTTTCCATGTCTAATTTTAAAAGAATCAAACCCAAGGAAATCCTAGGATGAGCCCAGGGTAGGAAGATGGGAAGTGGTCAGTGCTTATTAAATGAGACCTGAGAGAAAACAAAGAATTCCAGACAAACACTGCTGCAGAATTCAGAGAACATATTGAACCCTTCTTGGACTTGAGTTCTGCTCACTTGTTATGAGTATGGGGCTGCTGAATGTACATACCTAGGTTAGAATAACAAAGGCTAATGTGTACTGAGAACTTACTAAGGACTATGGTCTATTCTAGACACCCCATGCAAATTAACTCATTCAATTCTCAAGCAATCCTAGGTGGAAAAGGCTCCTTACTTAACGAATAGGAAACTAAAGCACAGAGAGGTTCAGCAACCTGCTGGAAGTCACACAACTAATCAAGTGGTAAAATGAGGATTTGCACCCAGGTCACCTAAATTAAGTTCTACACTTTTAACCACAATGTTACAGCAGTTCCTACCCTAGAAAGTAAACATTAAATAAAATACAGTGCCTGCTTTTTTCCAAGTTAAAAAAGAAAGGTAAGGCGGCTTGTTTCCAGGTCCAGGTCATAGATAAGTCAAAGAAATTTCAGTGACAGCTGTCACAGCTTAAGCACCTACTATGTGTTAAGGACTTACCTCACACTTTCCAATCTTCTAACTACTCTGTTGTGGAAAATATTATTCCCATTGTACAAATAACCAAACTAAAAATCATAGAGGTCAGTAAACACACAAATGCACACAGCTAGTGGGAACAAGACTCCCAGACTGGGTTGCCATGCTCCTGGGTTGGAGTCTTGAATCTCAGTGATTCCCTTAGCCCAAAAGCTTTATTTTACAGATGGGGAAAATGAGGCTGACAGAGATTATATATTGAACACCACCTTTAAAGTTACTAATTGTACTGCACAGTGCCCACATAAAGAGATAGCATATGCATCATTAAGCAGGATCTGGGATGTGGCTAGTTTTGTATGTAGCTTGTTCCACAGGCTGGGAAGCCAGAGCTCTGTACAAAAAAAAAAAAAATGTGTGTGGAATGGTCTCAGATTAAGGAGAGATAAGCTCTGACACTTGTCTGTTCTTTGTCCTTGAGCAAGTCACTTAACCTCATTAATTCTGTTTCCTTATCTATAAAATGGGTATGATGATAATAATATCTATGACAGGTATTATTCGCAGGATTTCAATTCACCAGCAATTATGGAATGCTGATTAGGTACCATGCACTAAGTAAAGTGCCATAGGTCTGTCATCCCCATTTGATGTTCTCTACAGCTTGATGAGACATGTTCTTTTTTTTTTTTTTTTTTTTTTTGAGACGGAGTCTCGCTCTGTCACCCAGGCTGGAGTGCAGTGGCCGGATCTCAGCTCACTGCAAGCTCCGCCTCCCGGGTTTACGCCATTCTCCGGCCTCAGCCTCCCGAGTAGCTGGGACTACAGGCGCCCGCCACCTCGCCCGGCTAGTTTTTTGTATTTCTTAATAGAGACGGGGTTTCACCGTGTTAGCCAGGATGGTCTCGATCTCCTGACCTCGTGATCCGCCCGTCTCGGCCTCCCAAAGTGCTGGGATTACAGGCTTGAGCCACCGTGCCCGGCCGAGACATGTTCTTAAAGACGCCTTTCACAGATGAAGAAAGTAAAGTGCTAGGAGGGGACGTGATCTTCCACATTTGCATAGCTAGTGAGTGGCAAGCTGGGAGTTGACCCGTAGTAGGCCACTATGGAGCCCATACCAACTGCCCACCAACAGGGTCCAACAGAGAGCTACCATCCAGCAA